AAAAAAAAAAAAAAGAGTGTGGTACCTTCCCTCTTCCCCTCTCTCCTCCCTCTTTACCATGTGGAAAAACCTGCTTCCCCTTTGCCTTCTATCACGATTGTAAGCTTGCTGAGGCCCTCTCCAGAAGCAGAGGTTGAAGCCATGTTTGTACAGCCTGAAGATCTATGAGCCAATTAAACCTCTTTTTGTTACAAATTACCCAGCCTTAGGTATCTCTTTATAGTAATGTAAAAAATGAACTCAAATTCTGATCAGAAATAACTGACTCAAGATGGGCAAAGTCTACTCAAACTATAAAAACAAAGGTTACAAACTCCCATGTTTTACTGTGCTGCACTACTTCACACATTATTATAGAACTCTCACTTGTATTCTTGCTGTTTAAGTCAACTGGAAAACTTGCTTGTGCATGGCTTTTTAGCAAATACATGAGGATTTAACGATAACTTTAAGGAAAATAAGCACAAGTAGGGCATTTTTAAATTGACATTACATCAAATGAAAGGGTTAATAACTTAAAAGTTTTGAGTAGCATAAACTTGGATATGGTAAATGAATGTGGTCAGAGGACTGTGTGAGAGGAGGCCCAAATCACAGATTCAATTCCTGATAATAAACAACTATGTTTTTAATTTGTTTAAAAGAAAACCAAGCTGAAGCCTAAGTTCTATCATTCGTCTTTAAAATGTACTCTTTGGAGCCAAGGAAAAGGGGCCAAGAATTATGAATAAAGAGAAATCCATGACTCCTCCATCACATGACAAATTAATTGTGTTGATAAAAAGATGGCAAAAATGTATAAACAAAAAGTTTAGATGTTTTCACTAACAAGATAACTAAAGGAAAATATATCACATGTTAAAATAAGACAAGCGAATATGTGAAAAGTTGAAAAATTTAAACCAATATGAGTTTTTCTAAATACTTCCTATAATACACCTGATCAAACAAGAGTTTTTACTCGTTCTCTTGGTAGAAAAAAGAATGTTGTCTCACCATCTGTTTGATAGTTCCTCTGGAATACTGTGCTTGCCACCGGATTGGCAGAAGGGTTAAAATCCAAAGCTATATGTATAGAGGGAGAAAAGAAAAAAGATGTAATCATTTATTAAAATTTATCAAGTCGTTTACTCAACTGCTGCATTTAGGCTATTTCACTACTTTTACTTTTATTCTTATCCATTGAAATGAATGTATGGACATAAGATAGAGCCAGGCAAGATGGCACATGCTTGTAGTCCCAGCTACTCAGAAGGCTGAGATGGGAAAATCACTTGAACCCAGGTCAGGAATTTGAAGCCAGAATGAGTAACATAGTGACACCCACCTTTATTCAAAAAAAAAAAAAAAGAAGAAGAAGAAGAAAAAGAGGTAAATGTTGGCTTTGAGTTGTGTAAAATCAACTTTGCATAAAATAAATCAAGATGGCAGTAAGTTTTAAAAGACAGGTCTATTTTATAGACAAAGTATAAGATGTATTCTAGAGTTTTAAAATTTATTTTAAAGTAAATTCAGCATATCTGTCACTTCCACATCATTCTGAGGACATAGAACCTTAGTTCTGTTGAGTAGCTGTCTTCCACAGACATGTGATATCTCTAAGTCTTCATTTCTTCATTAGCAATACATAGGGAGAACACACACGGGCCTTATTTATATTGGAAAGGGCCAAGTGAAACATACAAAAACTGTGTTGTAATCCTAAAGAATGACAATAAACAGCCATTTTGGGGCTCTCACCCAACACTACCCATCTACTAACTGGTGTGTAACATCACTCAGAGGTTTTCTTTACACCAGTAAGCAGAGTGTAAGTTTACACAAGTACTTACACACTTTGTGTATAGAGGTATAATCAATTAATTCACATAATATATTTGTTTATTCTAAAGCAATCCTTAAATATCTTGAAAAGTGAGGATAGTACTTCCAAGTTACAAAGTCACACTCATCATGAGTCTTAATTATCCTACTTCTTAAAAAATTAAGAGCCCAACCAAAGTTTAAATAGAAGAGCTACAAGACATTTCCTCTACAACAATGAAATCTCTGGCATTTAAATGAAACCAATAAGCCAACTGGATTTAATTTCGCTGTGCTGCAATGTTTTCCATGAAAATTTTAGTTTTTATTCAAGAACTATATTACTACCCAGAATTACTTTTACTTAGATTCATCTCTTCGCAAAATTTTAGAGGCAAATCAACTGTTTTCTCTTTTCTACCACCACCCATGCCCTGCCTCTCCCAGCAGTGTAGAGACTGAAAAACTCCAACTTTCTTT